CATAGTGTAAGAACCACTGCTTTAATATGCTGTTTTATGTGATATTTATTTAAAAATTAAGTTTTTGTGTTGTATAGAGGATTTTTTTTTTTTTTCTTGTCACCTTTTTCAGATTGTTATATCTAGAAATTGAAATTGTCTGAATGAAACTATGAAGGAAACGATAGTATCCATTAGGTGCTCTCATTTGCAAAAAATCATTTTGCTATATCTCAAAACATCAGTTTTGTTGCATATCACTTTCATATTCAAATATAAGAAAACATAACTATGTTGTAATCAGCAATTTAATTTGGGTTCTTTATTTACAACTCATCCTATTCACATACTTCACCAAGAAAAAAGTTAGTTTTCCTGAGAGGGACTTCTATGATCGAGTGGGGCACTAGTCACCCTTTCATCCTGGCAAATGTCATAATGTTCGTGCTGGTTTCTGAATCTGCCTTTGATGGCTGCTAGTCTTGGGATGTAGCAAAATGCATGTTTTAAGTTTGCCAGGCCTGGCATATGTGGTTAAAGTTGCATGTAAGGGCCGGATATGATTAATTACATAGGAATGTAGGACAATTACAGTTATATGAGGTCTGCCTCAAAAGTAATGCACCCCATTTTCTTCTGCCACTTGCATGGAAGGGTGGGTGGAGTCTTGGGAACACAGTGTGACCAGCGTTAGTGGGCTTCGAGCTCTTGGAAAGTCACAGTGCCTATTTCAGTGAAGCCTTATGTGAGTGCTCAGTTGAAAAGATGGAAAATAACTCTCGAGCAGCGATACATGATAAACTTTTTTGTTTCAAACTTCAGAAAACGCCGTCCAGGACTTTTGCGAAGCATTTGTACCTGCCCCATTTCTTTCTGTTCCTGAAGATTAAAAAATCCCTCAAACAACAACATTTGCGGACCCTGGTGAACATCAAGACAGCTACGAAGAGGTTACTAAAGGGCATCCCTATGATGGACGTCCAGAATGCATATAAAGCATGGAAATTGTGTTGGAACAAGTGTGTTACAGCAGGAGGGATGTATTTTGAAGAATACTGAGTAATTGTACGAATCACTTCAATAAATTTCTTTAAAAAACAGTGGGGGCCATACTTTCGTTTCCTTTCATACAGTTTCGAAACGGACTTTGTATGTGGTCCAGATCAAAATGTTGCCATATGGTTGCCAAGTTTGGCAATTTTTGGTAATTTTTCGCCAAATTTAATAATAAAAATTAGTTGTTTGGTGATATCTTGCCAATTGAGCAAAACAGCCATTTATCTCTCTTTCCTCTATAATGTTATTTTTCTGACAAAGCTTTTCATTTTTGAGGAACTTCATGTTAACATTACACAAGAGATACTAACTACCATTTTGCTTATAATTTCACTAAGATTATTTATATATATACAAAATTCATAACAATATATATTAACATTTTTTAGTACCAGTGGTGCTATTAGTCTTAAAATACACTTTTTATCTGAATGACTTTTTGAATTGTTGCTACCAAATGTTAAAGTGCTGTATTACTTTTAAAGAAATTAGTAATGAAAACTATGTATGTGTATATGATCCTCATATTGTGGTAAAATGATGGTACCTCAAGCCACCACATTTTGATTAAACGTAATCCCCCACCCGAACATGTGTACTGGGAAACCCGAAGACTGAACTTCAAATTTTTCATTTATTTCAAATTTTGTACAAATTTAATGAATTTTTTATTAACAAAGAGTGATTTGAAATTGAGCAGCGACAACACTTCTAAACAAAACATTTTTATTTCCAGTGTATGAGAATTGATGTCCTTCAGAAAAATGCAGGATATTTATCTTTCAGTTTTAATTAACAAACTCAGCTATTTGACAGCAGTGTGTTGCCATTGCCGGAAATAAAATATTTTTATGTTCCACATAAAAGTTTGTTGTTATTCAATAAAGCTTAAGATATTTAACTTTCAAGTTTAATCTGGAAGGTTATTAAATAACAAGCTAAATTTAAAAACAATAAACTCAGTTCTTAAGAATATTTTATGAAGAATATTTTTTACATTTTAATATGTAACTTTAAATAAAAATGCATTAAAACATTTAAATAAAAATCATAAAATGTCTATTCAGGAATATTAAATGTTTTTATGAAAATGTTGTTGGACTTATTGAAATTTTGTTGGACTTATTGAATCATTATATACTTTTTTTTATAACTGTTTTAGGCAATTAGTTTTTAAAGAAATCACAGAATGAATGTAAAAAAAAACTTGACATTCTGTTGGGAATTCTAAAGATATGTTTTAAAGTATTTTGTGATTTTATGTGGTGTAAGTCTGAGGAATGTGATATTTAATAAATAATGTTCAACGTGGAAAAAGTTAAAAAGAGAAAGACGGTGTGGGGGGGGGAGTTGTGCAAAGAAAACAACATTCATGTGGTGAACTGAGAAGAGGCTTAAAAATAAGTAAATAAATAAAAATAAAAATCTGAAAGCTTTCAGATTTTGCATTATGCCCAAAGGGGCATTTGTTTAACATTTTGTGTTTACCTTTATTTATTAAATATCATGTTCTTCGTACTTAAACCATAAAATTCAGTTCAACAATAATATCGCAAAATAATTTTAAAATGAGCGTATCTTTAGAATTTCCGATATACAGTCTTGCACACTGGAGATTTAAAATAATAATCTGCCCTCTTTAGTGTTGCCATTGCTCGCTTTGAAATCGTCGAGTTTGTTAATCAAAAATTCATTAAAGTTTTACAAAATATGAAATCATAATAAAATAAATTCTAAATACCCATATTCTGGTGGAAACATACATTATCCAAAATTTGATGGCTCTAGGTACTGTTGTTTTATCACAATGCGAGAAACATACATACATATATATATTTATGCAGGTTCTTTTCTTTAAGTATAATACAGGGCTCTAATATTTGGTCGCAACAATTTTAAAAGTGAACCGACGTTTATAGTGAATCAATGCAAAATGCCAAAACAAAATTAATAGTCCTTCTGAGCAAATTGCTCCTTTGGACTTGAAAAATGTATACAAATACTGTATTGAAAATTCTAAACATATGTTGCTGTAAAAAAATTTTGATTTTGCTGTGATATTGTATGTGGGATTGAGTGCAAAGGAAGTGATGCTTGATAACTAATTTTGTATGGAATTTTAATAAGGAAATAGGTGTAAAAAATAATGTCTTGGAATTTTTCGTATACAACGGTATAGAAATTTCCATAATGAGCAGAGATTCATGTCTTAACTTCTAAAATCTGGCTGTTTTGTTTATACTAGTCGTATTAGTTATTCTAAAAATTTTTTTATTTGAGAAGTATAGACTAAACACAGTGAGCATACTCTAAGACAACCCTCTGTTTTTAAATATGAGTTTTTATTTATGCTTTAAAGTAGAATTGTGCTTAGTTAAATCAATTTTGTGCACCATCACTTTACATTTATATAACTCACAATAAGCTTTTGTGTTTGCTTTCATTTTTTTCCTCACCAGTTCTGAAACATGGATAATTTAAGCATTTTGAAACATAGTTTTGAACTTCATATTGCTCATAATTCACATATTAATTAACACAGCATATAATCTGATGTTGGAATCATATACTAATGCTTATATTGATGCACATGGAGGGGGGGGGCACTTATAGGTTATGATCTCAGGATTGCCAGTTCCCAACATTTCTTGAGCTATAAATAAATTATTATAGTTAATTATAAATTAATTTCAATAGACATTACTTATATATATAATATAGAACAAGTTTTATGATTTTTAAAAAATTTAAGTAGTAAAAAGTAGCACAAGAAAATGATGTGTAGTAGCAGAAAAATTCACCAAAGGCATAAATTTCGTTACACAATTCACTAGAAGTAATAAATTCACAAAAATTTCGCACATCCAGCAATATTATCACAAGGAAAGGTATTAAAACAGCGGGGGTATATACACACACACACAAAAAAAAAAAAAAAAAAAGTTTCGAAAACCCTGATGTAACATGCAAAGCATGCACAAACTTACCATTTTCCTTACTTCTTTGAATTATTTACTAACTGTCATTGTTACTGCATTCCATGTAGATTTCCAACAGTATTCCTTGATATATATAATTTATATTGTTAGTATTTCCAACAATATACATAATTTCCATTTTGAACTGAAGCTAAAGAAGATTCTATATTTAAAAACTTCCTAAATTATTCCCACAAATTTATGAATAGCACCTCCAACACTGTATTTCCTCACTTATTTCTCCCCTTTTTTTACTAATTTTGTTGTCTGAAAATTGAAAAAATAAAATTATTCAAATAATTTAATATCCAAAGGGTGCAGTTACAGTAAATGAAAGTAGCCATGGATAAACTACAGGCAACTATGACAATAAGAATTCCAATAAGAATGCATTGTGATATTAACATTACAGTATCTAATAAGATATCTTCATTTCTACTTCTCTGTAGCTTGAATCTCGCCTGTTCTTATTATTCTCTCTGTTACTTCTTAGGCCTCAAATCATCCATAAATAATTAGAGGAGGTAAATGTACAACTGATTCAGCAAAATTGTAGACTGAATGTCAATTTGTGGTTGCTTGCTATAGGTGGTCAGTTCTTGTATATGGGTGGTGAAGTTCAATAATTAAGAGGGAAAGTTTTGGCATGACCTTTGCAAGGATTTCTCTTTGTTAGTTAGATGAAAATAATCATTACCGGGACAAATTTATTTTAAATTTGATGGGAGCACATTGATTAAAAGAGATATTATGCATGTACTTTAAAAATTTTTTTGAGCCTGGCAATAAAAAGTTAGGTGGAAATATATGCAAGAAAATATGGTAATCAATATTTGATGTGTTATTTTAACGCAGATTTAGTATTCCTTGGCTGTTTTAATAATTGACTGCACTACATAAGAAAAGTGTTTATGGCAGTGTTTGTCCTTTATTAGATATTGTGAATTTTCAGCATATGAATGTATTAAAAAAAATTCACATTTTTAGGGGTTTGGTGAAATACTTCAGTTGGTACCATTGGCAGAAAGTGTTATCAAGTTAACTGCTGTATGCATGCTGTGTTATGAAGAAGCATCCTTCACAAAAAGAATTGGAACTGAAACTGAGGTATGTTCTCACTGGACACTAATTCATATTAATAATCAGAGAAGGTAATATGCATATTAAGTAAAAATTCTTACTTCAAATATTCACATATTTATGTAAGAATTATGCAATTTATAGTCCATATTATTGCAGTTCTTTCTTTTGCTTCATCAAGCATCACTGTTTAATTACATAGATATATATCTATAGTATCACAATTTTTTATTTTAAAAACAAAATTATCAAACATAATTAATTAATAAATTTACACATTTAATAAAATAAATTAATAAAATTATCCACATTTTTGTCTGAACCGTTATAATTAAATAATTTAAATTGGTTTTAAATAAAATTTCTTACTTTTTGTCTACGTATAATATACACACACAGAAAGAAAAAATTTAAAAAGTTTGATTAGGTTTTATTGATAAAAAATGTAGTATTAAGTTCAAATATATAGAATTTTACGTAATATTAACTGTTCTATTAAATCGGTGATTTCTTTGTTGCAGCACATTTGTAACACTTTCAAAATTTTGTAATAACTATGTAAAATAGTTTGATAAAATTTTTCAATGTTAAATATAATACACACGACACTGTAAGAGCACATTTAATGTAAAATTTGAGCTTGATGATTTTTAATAATTATTTGGTCGTAAAAAGGATAATGCCACTCTCATTTCGTCATCTACATTTAAAAGTCTTTTTCCCCCCCCTCTTCCATTTTTATATTTGTTAATGCTGAAAATCCAAATTCACGCAAATAAGATGTAGAAAATTGTGACAATACCTTTAAAGCTTTGTTGGCTATTATGGGATAATCACCTTTAAATTTAATCCAAAATAAATTGACTCTTTCAAATATTTTGAAATTAAATCTTGATTATTACAGAGCAAAATTAGTTCTTCATTCAAAGTTAATTCATATACAGATGCATCCATTATCACAAATGGATTACGAACCCAATCAAACTTTTCCATATCTAAATTTGCGAAGTAATGAATAACTTTCTCCTCTAATGTTGTCAAATGGTCAATAACAATTTTATGAATAGTTTTATAGGAATCTTTTGGAACTCGCTCAAGCTTTTCCAAATTATCTTCCTGTGCTTTGTTTTTCTATAAAGTTCCCCACCACCACCACATAATCATCACTTAGTTTATCTGTTGAGTTTAAAATAAATGAACAAAACCATCATCTTTAGCTTCTTCAAAAAATATTTTCATCTTGTTTTTTGATTTAAGTATGCAAGATAAAGCTTTTCCTCTGGACAAGCAAACCACCTTACTTCCGTGTGCAGTATCAAGGATTTGTATTTAGCTTCCATAGCTTGCCATAAATAATTAAATAAGCGACTTTGTAATGGCTTTGATTTTATATAATTAACCATTTTAACACATTGTTCCAGCACTATTTTCAATTCTGATGGCAGATATTTTGTAATAAGTACTCCCCGAGGCAAAAAAACAATGGGTAACTAATATATCTGCATTCATTTCTTCCACATGTGCCACAAATCTTTTTTGTATGTCTAGTCATAGCTGGAGCACCATCTGTGCAAATGCCAGTACATAAATTCCATGAAACCTTAATTTCTTGTAAATATGAGTTAATTACACTGAAAATATATTTTCAGGTTGTACAATCAGATAACTCGCAACAATATAAAAATTTATTAATTACATCATTTTTGTTAATGAATCAAACAAATGCAATTAATTGTACGTTTCCCATAATATCTGTTTTTCCGTCTATTTCTAGAGCAAAATTTGAATTTTTCAGAGTTTTAGCCAGATTTTCTTCAATATTTCGACGTGTCTAATTCTGCGATGAATTGTGTCATTTGAAAGTGGTATTTTGCAAATATCAATATCTGCTAATCCACCAATCATTACTTTTACAATTTTACGACAAGTTGATTATATAATTTCTTCAGCCAAATTATTTAACTGCAATTAATTCAGCTATTTCATAAATAGGTATCTGAGCTTTTTCAGACACACTATGTTGTTTTTCAAAAACTTTTAATTGTTTGAATTTGCAGATAATGATTTTTTAAAGTAGCTTTTGTCTTTTGATGCAAGCGAAAGATTGTTAGTCAGCAACTGTCGTTGAAGCTTGGTCGGAAGCCATAGCACTATTTGATAATTTACGACCACATACCAGACACTCGGGAACAACTATATCATTTTCCACTGTAGATATAAATTCAGATTTTAAGAAAACATGATTATATTTCCGACGAACAATATATTTTTTGCAGGAGGAAACATCTTTACTCATTCTTGGTGTTCGCTCACGAGCCTTATTGCTAGCATCGTCATTATTATCACCATTAAATTTTCTTCTTTTTAACCATTTGTCCATTTCAGAAGGTTCTTCTTTAAGATAAAAATAATTTTGTCAAAAAATTATTAAAAAAGCCGAATCATGATCTTTCAATACGTTTTATTTAAGTTTGAGAACACAATACTGCATAGCAAATATATAAATTTATGAATTCAACCACACAGCAAGCATGTAAATAGTAAACTGAATTAGTTTTTTTTGGGAGGGGGTTAATCCAGAATAGTAGTTAAATAATACAAGTATCATATATATAGAGGGTGTTCACACATTTTTGTAATGATTTTGATTTTCTCCATGAATTTAAATAGGAATTTTAAAATACAAACATGACTGTCATCAAATTCGAATAAAGTTTAATTATTGTCTGCAGCATTAAAAATAGCCTTTTCTTTAAAATGTCGCTGAAAAATAAACAATGGATCGAAGGCTGTATTTTTGAGAAAGAAGAGAAGTACTTTTATTCAGTTATTAAAAAAGATGTGAAAAGCATGATTTTGATATTTCTACACATAAAATAAGTGACATAATTAATATGAAAGGAAAGAAATTTCAAAGTTTACATCTGAGAGGGAAAAGGGCAAAAAATACATACCCAACAAAGGTACATATAGCTCTTATTAAATCTAAAGTCGCATCTCATGTTTTAAAGTCATAACCAGCCCTCCATAGAGCTATTGCAAAATCTTCAAATATCTCTGTAGGAACTGTGAATAAAATTATAAAATCTGATTTAAAGCTAATAAAAAAGGGTGGGAATGATGTTCATCGCCTAATGCCGAAACATGTTTCTCAGCGTAAAACTGTGCAAATTGCTGTATGAAAATTATTTGGCAGGTGAAAAATGGAAATGTATAGTTACAATTGATGAGTCTTGAATATACTTATTTGATTGCAATAGGGGGAAAAAAATGATTTGCTACCGGAAAAGAGGAGAAAAAGACTTAACATGTTGGTTCAGAGAAAACGAGGAAAGTTTTTCTAAAGGTTTTATGGTTATTACTGAATTTTCTTATAATGGAAAGCTTAAAATAAGAAAAGTAGAAAAAAATTTCAAAATTGATTCGGAAATATGTTTTAACATGCATTTTTAAAGAAGTTCTATCTTTTTATATCGAGATTGCCAGATATTGAATATGCATATAAAATTATATAGGTTTTCAAACATTAAAATTTTTTAAACAGCATCTTATATTAGAAATGTATTTTATAAATCTGCATTTATATTTTCTCTATTATTCATATTTATTTCTACCATTTTAAATGGTTACAATAAATATTTAAAACTCTTTTAAATTGATAATTTATTAAATGAAAATCTCTGAAGGTATATAATCAATTTGAATAAAGTAGTTGAATTTTGAATCGGGCTAAGAAAATTCCTCGTTGGGCGAAGCACACGATCTGATAAATTTTTGAGATGTGCTTCCATCTATCCACAAAAGGATAAAAGAAAAAGGATAAGAATACCACAAAATACTGTTATTTCTATAAAACAACTGAATGATTTGGTTCTGGGTTTTATTTTTTCATCGGAGCATAATTAATAATTTTTAAAAAATATGGCAGCACACAAAAGTTCCGCGGCACAGTGGTTGAGAGTCGCTGTATTAAACCATAAAAATTTAACAAACATTGGGAAAACTAGTCTGTAATTCTCAGTGGATACATTGATATTTTGCTGAATTAGAAACTGATACTGGAAATTGGCTCTGAACATGTTTTTGTAACATTTTTAATATTTTACAGTGATGTGTGTGTGTGTGGGTGATTTATTCTTCTTCTTTTACAGCTGGAACTTATTGGGGGAACTGATAAATATATGGCAGTGTGTCGCAGATGTTATGATATCGATTCCTCACAGGTAAAGCCTGACCTAGATAGCAATTCCTCCAAACAATAAGCAATGAATTCCAGTGATTACATCATGAAGCGATAAAATTGTATATACTCATTTATATTCTTTTACATCCTATTTTATATTAGCTAGTAGTATGTGACTAGCATTTGTGTATTAAAAACACATTTTTATTGTGTTAACTTATGTTTGATTGTATGAAAGTACTTGCATACTGTACATAAATTTTTTAATGAAACCAAACTGTAAAGATTTATAGTTATGATTGTTTACAGAATTTGATATAGTTACAAAATACAAAAACTGTAGGATTATTTTTTTAATGTAATCAATTCTTTTTATTGAAAAGGAAAACTAAAAAAACTCTTAAATTTATTTTGCTTTAATTTAGAAATCACATTTTCATGTTTCTTTTCTCCTGTTTAAAATTAATTTTCTGTTGCTACCAGGAAAGTAATTTATATCATAAATCTATGTAATCTGAGACTTTGTGGTTAGAATCAATTTTGTGACACATAAATATAAATTGTAATTGCATTAAAATCAAAAAGACATTAATAGTTTAGTTTTTGAGCATAGCATTTAATATGGATTATGTTATGTATAATAGTTTATATGAAATTTTACGGAAGAAAAACTTTTGCAGAGTGATTAAGAATGGAAAAAGTAATTACAATAATCATCACAGTTTTTACAGCCACCCATGGGAAAGATTTTATTTATATCAAGAATAGTAACATTTAGAGAGAATATATATTTTTGTGCATAGTATAAAAAGCAGATGAAAGAATATGCAGATTATTGTTCTGCTAATATTTATTTGTATTATTTTTTAATAAGCTAAATAAATTCTTTGATGTAAATTTTTTCATGTGTATTAGTATTGAAAGCTAAATAACATGCAACAGATTTTTTTGTTAAACTTTGTCATATTTCTGTTAGTATTAAATTATTTTTCATTAGAGCATAGTCAAGAACTTTATAAATTTTGTCAACAGTTAACAGAATTTAAATATTCTAGATGTATTCTAACATTCTGAATTTTTTTACCCACATTGGATAACCAAAAATCCCCCGTTTTTTAAGTGTGATAAAGACTGATTAATACCAAATCCAAAATATTATAATATTTTTAGAACTGCTTTTGTGTAAGTGTTTTTATAAATAAATTTATCTGATTAAATTGATATGACATTTATTAAGACAGGGGGATTGATGCAATGGTTCAGTAACAGATCACAGAATTTTAAACAAATATTTATTATGTCATATATTAATATGGTTGAACCTTGATTTTGCATTAATAAAAATACATATACACAGGAATGTCCACCAAAAGCTCAGCAATAAATCTATCCAAATATAACAAATTTGTTACAATATCTACAAATATTCATTTTAAAAATAAACTTCAAGCAATTTGATTGCCAAATGATTGTATATTATAATCACAGACAGATAACAATTAACATAACCAGATATTTTTAACAAAATCTGTAAGAAAAAGATTGCACTCACAATTATAAAAATTGAAAGCCATGCAAATTAAAACTATTTCACATTTGAATATAACTATGATAAATAAATTACTCACTACTATATACTTCAAATTTTAATATTAATGTCTTTATGGACCATATTTAATGACAGAATGCTCTTCTGGTTACTTTAACTATTTAAAAGTGTAACAGCATTTAAAAGTAGCCTGCATCATCTCATTGAATATACCACAGGAATGATATTTAATAAATATTTCATGAAATAATATCCAAACACATTAAAAATAAATTATTATGAAAATGATTTTAGAGAAAAAGAATACTCAAACTAATTTAATTTTAAATAAATATATATATTTCATATTTAGAATTGCATCATTTTAGAGATTCAGAACCCTATGCACAGTTTTCAATGTTTATTATATTACATATTTATAATTTGTGCACAAAAATAATCTGTTATATTGATTTTAAATTTTTAATAAAGCACACCACATATTCACTGTATGTGCATTTTTAATTCACATGTAATGACATTATGGAAATAAAATTTCTCTTCATTACAAAAAAATTACCAGTATTTAAAACCTGGGAAAATGAATACACTATAAAGTCCGTAATCCGGATGTCCATTATTATTATCTGGATGGAATGATGTATAATCCGGACCTCAAAGCCTCATACATTACGCTCGTTGAAAGAAATTATTAATGAAATAAACAAATTAATATAAAGCGCTTTTTTTTTTTTTTTTTTTTTTTTTTGTAAAATTTGATAACCTTTAGATCATAATTGCTTTTTATTTCATAAATTACTGTTTCATATTTTTAATAGTATAATTTCTGCATGCAGTCTTACCAGATTTAAATTGATTCGGAAAAAACCCTAATCCGAAGTCCCGACGAGTCTGGATAACGGATTTTGTACAGTATTGTTGAATATTTACTATTTTAGTGAATATAGTTTTATTTTTACAATATAATTTAGGATTTAATTCATCAATTTGTTATATGCTGTGCCAAACAACAAACTGCAGCAAAAAAAGTATTCTCGAATATTGAGTGAAAACACATAATATAATACCAAAATATTGCTGGATTTAATTAATATTATTCTCTGAAAGCAGAATTTTGGGAATTCAAAAACATTCTATGTCATATTAAAGAAAAATTTCGTGGAAATTTTATTCCAAAACAAGATGGAAGAACTACAGTGTGGTTCAGAGGAAAATGCTGATGAGCAGTTCTAAATATATAGCATAAAAATTTGGGTAAACCTATGGTTCAAAAATGAAGAAAATTTATTTATAATTTAAAGTGAACTTCCCCCCCCCCCTTTTTTGTCTTTGAGTGTTGAAATTATTTTGGATAATTCTCCATTTCATAAGAAGAAAAGTAGAAGAGATATCTTTAGGTTCCTGTTGAGATTTTACCTTCTTAACATGATAAAAAATAAAATGTAGTTTAGTCTAATCCAATGTATACTTTTTAAGCTTGAAGAATGTGTATATTTACTCAATTTAAAGTTTCTTACTCAGTGTTCGCAAAAATTTTATATTTCATTTTGGAACTGATGATAGTCAAAGTAGAAAAAAAGTTGATTTTAAACACATTTTACAAGTGATGTTTGCAAGTTATTTAAATTTTTATTATATGCTGCTTTAAACTGCTGCATATTCTTAAAGTTCACTGTTAGTTTCAAATTACCATAATTTTTAAATGTATTGTTTAAATTCTTATACTTTCTAAAGTATGATACTACAAATTGCAGTATTTCTTAGAATTTACTGCTTGATAGCCAAAAGTAGATTTTTTAATCAGAACACCCTAAATATTTATATGAATTTCATATTCAACATCTTAATATATTATGCAAATATACACAGATCTGAACACATTAAAAAAAATTAAATACAGTATTTTACTAATGCCAGCATAAAATGTATATACACATAAAATACATAGTTTTGTGTATTATAACATGTCATTGTTTGTATAGAGTATTTTTATCAGAGTAGTACATATCAAAATACAGAAATAATCCTGAGGAAAGTGTCAGTCTTGTGTTGTGATGTAAATAATGAATACATACATATGTATAAAGAATGAGATTACATATGAGAAACGGCTTACATTTTAAGTAAAATACAATAATTATACAATAATTCTGAATTTATAATGAAGCCTTTTCATTGGAACATTTAAAGAAAACTTTAAGTTAGTTTTATCAGTTCACAGTACTTAATACATTCTGTACGAATGCATAAAATATTATCTTTGAAAAATGTTCCTTAGGGAAAGTAAAGAAAAATGAGGTATTGATTTCTTACCATCTATATGTATTGCGCTATGGAATGACTTTTGCAGTCAATACATTTTTATTAAGTTATCACAAAAACACGTTCACCTTTTAAAGCAGTTCATCAATATCATTGTAGATTAAACATATCTTAGTATCTTTATAATACTGAAAATTTCCTTCAAATATGAAGTTCTGACTAAAATTATACTTATTCAAAACTTCACCAATTTTATACAAAAATCAATACTATAAGCTTGAGGAAACATTATCATGTACCTGGAAAAGAATAGTTTGCTATATTACTTTAAATATTTTTGTAAATAAAAGAATTTCCGAAGCCATTCTTATGCTTTTCCCTCAGAAATGTGCTATTTAGTAAAATAAACACAGTGTGTCTACAACTTTAGGACTAATCTTGTTAAATAAATTTCAAAAAACCTGCCAAAAGATAATTGACAACATCTATTGCTATGAAATTTCAATTTGCTTTTTCTAAAATATCTGTTTATGGACAGAATTTTCTCTATACAATTATCTGTTCGCTCTGATCCAGTGAACATCTGCTGTCATGGACTGATAAGTTGAGCAAGGAACCGCAATACAATTTTGCTGTAAAGCAGGAATTAATCCTGATGCTTTCAAATTGTGACTAGAAATGAAACTTTGTGTTTTGTTTAGTTCTCGGATAAAATGGGCCAACCATCGCCCAAGCGTTTAAGTCAATAAACATTGGTACTTTAGTCTGGGGTTTGAATCTCAGCAAATGGGCTGGCTGCATGGATTTTTTTTCATGGTTTTCCCTATGCATAACATGTATACGAGCCAGTTTCCCTTAGAAAGTTCTCCACGTAGGTATCCCGTCTGTTAGGCAGATAGCTCTCGTGTGGTCATAGCTAAAACCAAATCAGATAAAATAGCAATTATCTCCTTCAACTGAAGAAGGTCCACTATGAAATCTGGAATAAAAACCTTGTTGCTGACTCTTTTGATAGGAAAGGGATAATTCACAAAGAATTTGTTCTTGAGGGACAGATGCTATATTTCATATTTTACAAAGACAAAACAAACAGACTTTTGAAGATAATTCAGTCATTAGAGCTGAAAAAGCTCAACAAAATAACTGGTTTTTGGTACATGATAATGTGCTGTCACACAATTTCCTAGCATTCCTTTTATTCACTATTATATTTGGCACCTATACATAACTGCCTTCATACAGTAATTTTACACCAGTATTTATTATTTAATAGCAAAAATAGATTCAGAAAACTATCTAGAGTTTTAAACAGCATTCCAAAAGACAGCTTATGTTATGAAATTTAGAGCTGTATGCACATGTATGAACATTAGTTCTAAAAGTTTATAGATGCATTGATAGAGAAAGTGATAGTCTAAAATTACATACTGTATATAAAATTAACTAATTTTTTCACCTTAAATTCTTAAATTTTACAAACAATTTTCAAATTTGGATAATCAATAAGCTAATATTAAATCCCTATTTTATTTTTGAAATAAATACATTTCTTGTGTAAACTAAATTGTTAAGCATATTAATTATGCAAACAGCATAATCAGATATCCAAAATTAACTCTGAATTCTAATTAATATATTACAAGTAAATGTTTTAATTAATGGATTCTACAAAATTGTACTTCAAAGCTTTCATTACCCAAATTATAATGAATAATAAATAATGCACACATTTTATCATACCTTGTATAAATATCTTCTATATTAGCTATTCTAAATATTTCATGTATTTGTATGAGGCACACTGTGTTGAGAATACTTTGATGTTCTTGTGGTCAAATATAAAAATGCCTTCTTTCACGTTTGCAAAAATGTTTCATTCAAAGTCTTTTTTCCACACATATGTACAAAAATAGAATCCAAAATATTATCTTGGTTACTTTATAGTTAAATTTTATGTTTTGAGGGAATTATAATCAATCTATGTAAATTAAATACACAAAAGTCATGTTAGGAAGTTTATTTAGTTTTTATAATTAATTAAAATTAAAAATTTTCTTCTGAATGAATTTAGCTATTTTAATTAAAAA